AATTCCCCTGTGCCACTGTGAGCGGTATACATACAGTAACTGAATTGTACTGTGCCACTGTGAGCGGTATTCATCGGTTACTGAATTCTCCTGTGCCACTGTGAGCGGTATACATACAGTAACTGAATTGTACTGTGCCACTGTGAGCGGTATACATCGGTTACTGAATTCTCCTGTGCCACTGTGAGCGATATACATACAGTTACTGAATTGTATTGTGCCACTGTGAGCGGTATACATACAGTTACTGAATTGTCCTGTGACGGTGTGAGCGGTATACATACAGTAACTGAATTGTACCATGTGCCACTGTGAGCGGTATACATACAGTTACTGAATCGTACTGTGCCACAGTGAGCGGTATACATACAGTTACTGAATTGTCCTGTGACGGTGTGAGCGGTATACATACAGTTACTGAATTGTACCATGTGCCACTGTGAGCGGTATACATACAGTTACTGAATTGTACTGTGCCACTGTGAGCGGTATACATACAGTTACTGAATTCTCCTGTGCCACTGTGAGCGGTATAGATACAGTTACTGAATTGTACTGTGCCACTGTGACCTGTATAGATACAGTTACTTCATTGCCCTGTTCCACTGTGAGCGGTATAGATACAGTTACTGAATTGTACCATGTGCTACTGTGAGCGGTATACATACAGTTACTGAATTGTACTGTGCCACTGTGAGCGGTATACATACAGTTACTGATTTGTACTGTGTGCCACTGTGAGGGGTATACATACAGTTAGTGAATTGTACTGTGTGCAACTGTGAGTGGTATACATACAGTTACTGAATTGTACTGTGCCACTGTGAGCGGTATACATACAGTAACTGAATTGTACTGTGCCACTGTGAGCGGTATACATCTGTTACTGAATTCTCATGTGCCACTGTGAGCGGTATACATACAGTAACTGAATTGTACTGTGCCACTGTGAGCGGTATACATCGGTTACTGAATTCTCCTGTGCCACTGTGAGCGGTATACATACAGTTACTGAATTGTACTGTGCCACTATGAGCGGTATACATACAGTAACTGAATTGCACTGTGCCACTGTGAGTGGTATACATCGGTTACATAATTCTCCTGTGCCACTGTGAGCGGTATACATACAGTAACTGAATTGTACTGTGCCACTGTGAGCGGTATACATACAGTTACTGAATTCTCCTGTGCCACTGTGAGCGTTATAGATACAGCTACTGAATTGTACTTTGCCACTGTGACCTGTATAGATACAGTTACTGAATTGGCCTGTGCCACTGTGAGTGGTATCGTTACAGTTACCGAATTGTACCATGTGCCACTGTGAGCGGTATACATACAGTTATTGAATTGTACTGCGCCACTGTGAGCGGTATACATACAGTTACTGAATTGTCCTGTGACGGTGTGAGCGGTATACATACAGTTACTGAATTGTACCATGTGCCACTGTGAGCGGTATACATACAGTTACTGAATTGTACTGTGCCACTGTGAGCGGTATACATACAGTTACTGAATTGTACCATGTGCCACTGTGAGCGGTATACATACAGTAACTGAATTGTACTGTGCCACTGTCAGCGGTATACATACAGTTACTGAATTCTCCTGTGCCACTGTGAGCGGTATAGATACAGTTACTGAATTGTACTGTGCCACTGTGACCTGTATAGATACAGTTACTTAATTGCCCTGTTCCACTGTGAGCGGTATAGATACAGTTACTGAATTGTACCATGTGCCACTGTGAGCGGTATACATACAGTTACTGAATTCTCCTGTGCCACTGTGAGTGGTATACATACAGTAACTGAATTGTACTGTGCCACTGTGAGCGGTATACATACAGTTACTGAATTGTACTGTGCCACTGTGAGCGGTATAGATACAGTTACTGAATTGTCCTGTGCCACTGTGAGCGGTATAGATACAGTTACTGAATTGTACTGTGCCACTGTGAGCGGTATAGATACAGTTACTAAATTGTACTGTGCTACTGTGAGCGGTATACATACAGTTACTGAATTCTGCCGTGTGCTACTGTGAGCGGTATACATACAGTTACTGAATTGTACCGTGTGCCACAGTGAGCGGTATACATACAGTCGCTGAATTGTACTGTGTGCCACTCTGATCGGTATAGATACAGTTACTGAATTGTACTGCGTGCCACTGTGAGCGGTATACATACAGTTACTGAATTGTCCTGTGCCACTGTGAGCGGTATACATACAGTAACTGAATTGTACTGTGCCACTGTGAGCGGTATACATCGGTTACTGAATTCTCCTGTGCCACTGTGAGCGGTATACATACAGTTACTGAATTGTACTGTGCCACTGTGAGCGGTATACATACAGTAACTGAATTGTACTGTGCCACTGTGAGCGGTATACATCGGTTACTGAATTCCCCTGTGCCACTGTGAGCGGTATACATACAGTAACTGAATTGTACTGTGCCACTGTGAGCGGTATTCATCGGTTACTGAATTCTCCTGTGCCACTGTGAGCGGTATACATACAGTAACTGAATTGTACTGTGCCACTGTGAGCGGTATACATCGGTTACTGAATTCTCCTGTGCCACTGTGAGCGGTATACATACAGTTACTGAATTGTACTGTGCCACTGTGAGCGGTATACATACAGTTACTGAATTGTCCTGTGAAGGTGTGAGCGGTATACATACAGTAACTGAATTGTACCATGTGCCACTGTGAGCGGTATACATACAGTTACTGAATCGTACTGTGCCACAGTGAGCGGTATACATACAGTTACTGAATTGTCCTGTGACGGTGTGAGCGGTATACATACAGTTACTGAATTGTACCATGTGCCACTGTGAGCGGTATACATACAGTTACTGAATTGTACTGTGCCACTGTGAGCGGTATACATACAGTTACTGAATTCTCCTGTGCCACTGTGAGCGGTATAGATACAGTTACTGAATTGTACTGTGCCACTGTGACCTGTATAGATACAGTTACTTCATTGCCCTGTTCCACTGTGAGCGGTATAGATACAGTTACTGAATTGTACCATGTGCCACTGTGAGCGGTATACATACAGTTACTGAATTGTACTGTGCCACTGTGAGCGGTATACATACAGTTACTGATTTGTACTGTGTGCCACTGTGAGGGGTATACATACAGTTAGTGAATTGTACTGTGTGCAACTGTGAGTGGTATACATACAGTTACTGAATTCTCATGTGCCACTGTGAGCGGTATACATACAGTAACTGAATTGTACTGTGCCACTGTGAGCGGTATACATCTGTTACTGAATTCTCATGTGCCACTGTGAGCGGTATAGATACAGTTACTGAATTGTACTGTGCCACTGTGACCTGTATAGATAGAGTTCGGAATTGGCCTGTGCCACTGTGAGTGGTATAAATACAGTTACTGAATTATACCGTGTGCCACTGTGAGCGGTATCCATACAGTCGCTGAATTGTACTGTGCCACTGTGAGCGGTATACATCTGTTACTGAATTCTCATGTGCCACTGTGAGCGGTATAGATACAGCTACTGAATTGTACTGTGCCACTGTGACCTGTATAGATAGAGTTCGGAATTGGCCTGTGCCACTGTGAGTGGTATAAATACAGTTACTGAATTATACCGTGTGCCACTGTGAGCGGTATCCATACAGTTACTGAATTTTACTGTGTGCCACTGTGAGCGGTATAGATACAGTTACTGAATTGTACTGTGTGCCACTGTGACCGGTATAGATACAGTTACTGAATTGACTGTGTGCCACTGTGAGCGGTATACATACAGTTACTGAATTGTACCATGTGTCACTGTGACCGGAATACATACAGTTACTGAATTGTACTGTGTGCCACTGTGAGCGGTATACATACAGTTACTGAATTGTACTGTACCACTGTGAGCGTATAGATACAGTTACTGAATTGTCCCGTGCCACTGTGAGCGGTATACATACAGTTATTGAATTGTACTGTGTGCCACTGTTAGCGGTATACATACAGTTACTGAATTGTATTGTGTGCCACTGTGAGCGGTATACATACAGTTACTGAATTGTCCTGTGACGGTGTGAGCGGTATACATACAGTAACTGAATTGTCCTGTGCCACTTTGAGCGGTATACATACAGTTACTGAATTGTACTGTGTGCCACTGTGAGCGGTATACATACAGTTACTGAATTGTACCGTGTGCCACTGTGAGCGGTATACATACAGTCGCTGAATTGTACTGTGTGCCACTGTGATCGGTATAGAAACAGTTACTGAATTGTACCGTGTGCCACTGTGAGCGGTATACATACAGTTACTGTATTGTACCGTGTGCTACTGTGAGCAGTATACATATAGTCGCTGAATTGTACCATGTGCCACTGTGATCGGTATAGATACAGTTACTGAATTGTACCGTGTGCCACTGTGATCGGTATAGGTACAGTTACTGAATTGTACCGTGTGCTACTGTGAGCGGTATAGATACAGTTACTGAATTGTACTGTGTGCCACTGTGAGCGGTATACATACAGTTACTGAATTGTACTGTGTGCCACTGTGAGGGGTATCCTATCTCATCCCAACTCTATGACTTTGAAGTTTGAAAACAATGTCCCTATCTGCTCTTTGGCTGCCAGTGTATACAAGAACACAACTTTTATTCGCGTTTTATATTTACAAGCATATTCATGGACTTCAAAACTTCCTTTGCATTCCTATCTGTGAAGAACTAACTTAGTGTTCTATCGTCTGCTACAGCACAGTAGGAATATGGTCCCCACCAATGATAAGCCCTGTATTGGCAGACTCTAAAACATCATGCTGATAGAACTCGTCCTTGCCCTACACCCTGGCGAACTTTGAAGAAGTCACATGTACATCTGTCATAGTTGACACATGCTGTCGCGCTTTATACGACTGTAACTTTCCAATCGATGACGTCAGAGTTATTGCCTGTAGTTCGCAGGGTCCGATTTATCTGTGGTTGATATGACATTTGAATCTGAAATAACTAATAATTAATTTCATTTATGCTAAGAAAGACATATTTTTAGTTTGCCGGTTTGATCAAGCCGTTTTGGTATATGTACTGTGCTCCAAAATAATGATGACTCCCTGTTGTGTATTGCGAGCTCCAGCGATGAGCGTGAGTGACCCGCGATGGTCAAATGTGTGAGAATTTCTGTGTGTTGCAGAGAGTTAGCGGCTGAGCACTAATCTTCAGGTATGAAATACTGTTTTTTGTTTAATATATTATCATGTCATAAATGCAAGTTTTGGAAATACTTCAACTTTATTGATAATTCATTTTGCATTTTTCAAAGAGCGTGTTGTTCGATTTTCAATCATCTTTGAGTGCTCAAAATATATGCTGGAAGTATTTGTAATGTTTTCAAGTATTGTTATATCACCTAAATGGTATAACTATTCTTTGTTGCGTAAATATCAGTCAAAGAAAATGTTTATTTACCGTAAATTTGAATTTTGTAGGGAGTTAAATTTAAGGAGAAATCCTTGTTTCAAAATGAAATGTAACCTTTATTGGGGATGATTTGGGTGAACATTATGAATGTTTGAATACTTTTCAAGAACTTTAAGTGATTTATTTGCTTTATTATCACTAAAGAGTATATTTATTTTACTCTTCAGAACATATTTAATGTTACGAAGGACTCAGCCAATAAAGAGTGGTGAACACTATCTTCTCTTTATCATTTGTACCAAAACTTTCTGAAGATTATTGGAAGAGTTGGTACAGAGAAGAAATGAGTGATTCAGATGAATTAGCGTTGGAACTTGATGGAGTTGGACAGTTGTGGAATGGAAGTTTACAAGAGGCTGAAGGTGCAGGTGTTACCAATGTAAAAGAGAGAATGCAGATTGTGAAAGCAAAGAGAAAGGTGATTAAAGGGAAAATTACCAGAACTATAAATAGACTTAAAGACAACATGCAAACTAAAATGGTGAAAAAAAGAAGAATTTTAAAGGAGTTAGAAGAACTCAGAGCTGATTATACAAAGGCATGTGAATTACATGGAGAACTGTATGAGTATACAGAAGAGGCAAAAGTTGCAGGTTTAGATAAATGGGAGTCGGATCTAACCAATGATATCTATGGAATAGAAGAATTAGCAGAGGATTATCTAGCATCACTTGACATCACAGAACATGAAACAGAGACTGTGTCAAAGGGAAAGGGTAAATTTGTCAAGGTTCAAAGTGGTCCTTCAACATCATTTCAAGCTGCTGAAGATGATGACAGTGCATCTTATAAAGATAATGCATCTCAGGATGACAATACATCTCTTGCTGGATCAAGTGAAGGATTTGACTGGTGGATAACTTCACTGAAGGAGTATCAGGAGACTAAACACTGTCTAAGCAACACCCCGAACATGAGTTTAGCGGAGGCATTGATCAAGATTGAAGCCAGTAGGGACATACCTAATATCACTCTTCCTAAATATTCAGGGGATCCTTTGGAATATGTGAATTTCATGGAAAGATTCAAAATTCATATCCATGATAAAGCACATTTAACAGATGCCATGAGACTGGTACAATTAAAGATGCATCTGACTGGTGAGGCTGAGAGGGCCATTGCAGGACTTGGATCTAGTGGTACCATGTACGCTACTGCTTTAAAAATGTTAAAGGAACAGTTCGGCCAGGAAAGTTATATTGCAAGAGCATATGTGAACAAGCTGACTAAGGGGAACAGAATACAGGGACGAGAGGCGCTGCGAGATTTCTCCTTAGATCTGATTAATTGCATAGCAACTTTAACACGGATGGGTTCCTTTGCAGATATAAACGCAAATGATAATTTGCGGCAGATAGTAATGCGTATGCCAGGGTACCTTATTGATAGATGGAAAGTGAAGGCATCTGATATCAGAGAAAGAGGTGAACGGCCGTCAATTCGCCATATCAGTGATTTTATCAGAAAACAGGTAAAAGCAGAGTTCGACCCAGACTTTGGGGATTTGGAAAGAAGAAGTGATTCCAGAAGGATAAAGGGGTTATATTCTCATCAGCAGATGAAGAGGGGGCCCATATGTTATCTTTGTTCTGAAGAACATAGAATCTCAGATTGCCCAACATTCACAGATTGTACTGTTCCAGAGAGGACTCAGAAGGTTCGAGACCTACGTCTGTGTTTTGGCTGTCTTGTCAGAGGCCATATTACGAGAGACTGTAAGACCAAGAAGGCCTGTGGTATCAACGGATGTTCACGTACACACAACAAGATGTTGCATTTTGACCCACAGGTGGCCAGTTCTATCATTGATACAAATAGTATTCTACCAGTGGTCAGGGTGATGTTTAAATCCTTAAATGGTAGGACCAGGGAAGGTAATGTCCTCATAGATGGAGGTGCAGGAACCACAATCATTCGCAAAGAATTTGCAAAATCACTTGGTCTCCAGGGTAACAAGGAGAGACTTGATCTATCACTTGTAGGATGTGAGAAACTTGAGAACATTAACAGTCGCAGATTGAAATTTTGGATTTCTTCACTTGAAAGTAGTGAGGCATTTGAAGTAGAAGCTTATGAGATTGATAAGACTGTTTTGAATGTTAAGCCTTTGGATAGAAACTGGTTGAGATCATTCTCACATCTTAACAACATCGAATTGTCGCACAAGGCGGGACCTATTGATCTTATCTTGGGAGTTCAGTATTCTCACTTGCATGCTGAAGAAAAGGTTCGTCAAGGTCTTCCATTTGATCCGATCGGAAAGAAGAGCAAGCTCGGATGGTATGTGATGGGTCCAGACAAAACTCAACGTTCAGTGATATGCTCAGTGAACTTTGTGGAGAAACTTAATCTTGACAAATTCTACCAATTTGAAACATTGGGGGTACAAGCTCCAAATTGTAAATGTTCTGTTGAAGTACTCTCAAGTGAGGATCGAGTAGCACTCAAACTGATGAAAGAATCGTGTCGCAAGGTTCAGGACAGATACGAGATTGGTCTTCCTTGGAAGAAGAACCCTGCCTTACTTCCAAACAACTATAATGTAGCCTATAGAAGACTTGTGTCTCTTGAGAAGAATCTCCTGAAGAATGACCAAAAGGCTAAAATGTATTGTGATGCTGTGAATGAGTATGAGCAGAAAGAATGGGCAGAAAAGATTGATGAACCCAATGTGAAAACTAGTGGTTTCCCAGTTTATTATCTTCCACACCATGGAGTTTATAGACCGGACAAGCCCAGTACCCCATTGAGAGTTGTGTTTGATCCGGCATGTGTGTGTGATGGTGTATCCCTCAACTCATATCTGTATAAGGGTCCAGGTCTCATTGGGAACTTGCTGAGTGTTCTTCTGAGGTTTCGAGAGGACAGAGTTGCTATAGTTGGAGACATCTCCAAGATGTATCTCCAGATCAGGTTGAGAGAGAGTGACACTCATTTACACAGATTCCTATGGAGAGACTTAGAGGTGGATAGAGAGCCGTCAGTGTACAGATTGCTCAGAGTGGCTTTCGGTGATAAGTCCTCTCCAGAGATGGCAAGTTATGTAATGCTTCGAATTGCTGAAGAGAATGAGGACAGATATCCTGAGGCATCAGCAATTTTGAGAGACGACAGGTATATGGACGATCTGATTCATTCGTGTGAAACCCCAGGAAAGGCTACGAAGAAAATCAATGAGGTTAATGCTGTGTTAGCCACTGGACAGTTTCAGATCAAAAAGTGGTTTTGTTCTTCGCAGTTGGTTCGTGAACAGAGTAGAGAAAATTAACCACAAGCGTCTTCGTCTGTCAGTCTTGATGGTGAAGAAATCAAGACCTTGGGTATTCGATGGAATCCGGATACTGATAATCTGAGTTTTGCAGTCAAGAATCTGGTTGCAGAGAAATACACTAAGAGACAAGTTTTATCCAGAATGTCAATGTTGTACGACCCACTTGGACTAGCTTTAGCAATCACGATCAAAGCCAGAGTAGCTATGCAGGATATCTGGCGTCAGAAATCGTTGGATTGGGATGATGAGTTACCCAAAGAAATGTATGTTCAGTGGTCGAATCTGTTTCTGGAACTGCAAAGGTTGAGAGATGTTCAGTTTCCACGTTGTTTGAAACCTCCTGATTCCGTGAACACAACAACTCTACACGTCTTTGCAGACGCAAGCATGAAAGCCTATGGAGCTGCAGCATATCTCACATGTACAACAGAAAATGAGACTTCAACACAGTTGATTATGGCAAAGGCTAGAGTTGCGCCATTGCATCAGACAACAATACCGAGATTGGAGCTTATGGCGGCATTGATTGCTTCAAGGTTGGCCACAACAATCAAAAGAGAAATCAGACAGAAGCTGTCAGATGTGATATTGTGGACAGACTCACAAATTGTGCTTCATTGGATCAGAGCAGAATCAATAACATTCAAAGCCTTTGTTGGTGTCCGCATAGCCGAGATACAATCTCAGTGGAATCAGACACACTGGAGATATGTGCCATCTTAGCAGAGGAATTTCTGTGGAGGAATTGAATGGTAGCTGGATGAATGGGCCAGAATTCTTGAAGTTACCAGCTAATGAGTGGCCAACCCAGCCATGTGATGCAGCAACTACTGAATCCAGTGAGGAGAAAAGGAAGTGTCCAGCTATTGCTGCTTGTGCACCAATCAACCCTGTCATAGAAGCAGATAAGTTTTCATCATGGCAACGACTTCTGCGAGTTACAGCATACTGCCTAAGGTTTGTCAGGAAACTCAAGGACAAGATACACAAGGTTTCACAACTAGGGGATAATGCTATAACAGTGAGTTGTGAAGAGATGAAAGCAGCTGAATTGTATTGGATCAAGTGTGTCCAACGTGGAATGAATGATTGGAAGAGTGACTTCTGTGATCTAGCTCCCTTTGAGGAAAAGGGTATTGTTCGAGTAGGAGGTAGACTCAGACATTCTCCACTGCAGTATGACCAGATTCATCCAGTACTATTGTCTCCAGGTCACCATGTATGCAGATTGATAATGTGTGATGTTCATGTGCAAATGGGTCATGCTGGTCCAGAGAGAACATTGTGCGAGAGTAGGAGATACTTTTGGATTGTGCGTGGGCGGAACCTAGCCAAGAGTATTGTGAGAAATTGTGTTGTGTGAAGGAAGTTACGTCAGCCTGGTAATACCACTCTGATGGCTGACTTGCCTCCAGAAAGATTACTTCCATTCTCACCACCATTCCATGTAACAGGAGTTGATCTCTTCGGACCAATGTCAATCAAGTATGGTAGGAACAAAACCCAAAAGGTATGGGGAGCAATCTTCACGTGCGCGAATGTGAGAGCGGTTCACTTAGAGATAGTGGATGGATTGTCTACTCAGGCATTTCTACAAGCATTGGGTTGTTTTGTATCAAATCATGGATGGCCACACACAGTTATTTCTGATAATGGCACATCGTTTGTTGGAACCGAGAGAGAACTTCGTACCATATTCATAGAAGGCAAACAACAAATGATGGACTTTGCATTGCTGCACAGAATCAATTGGAAGTTCATCACGCCTTTGAGCCCACACCAAGGTGGAATCTATGAAAGTTTGATTAAACAAGTGAAAAGATCTCTTGAGGTCATCATCGGTCAACAGATTCTCAGCTGGAATGAGTTATCAACTGCATTTGCAGAAGTGAAAGGTTTGTTGAACGCAAGACCATTGTATTATACAGCACAGGATCCTAATGATCCACAAGCCCTAACACCCAACCACTTCCTGTTAGGGAGAGCTTCCATAAATGTTCCACAAGGACCGTTCCAGGAGACAAAGAACCTGCATAAAAGGTTTGAATATGTGCAGGAGCTGGTGAAACAGATTTGGAAGAGGTTTCTACGAGAGTATCTACCAACTCTCATGCGTAGGAGCAAGTGGCGTACACAGGGGAGACAACTCCAGATAGAAGATATTGTTCTGCTCATGGACAACAATGCACCTAGAGGAAAATGGGACTTGGCAAGAATCGTTGATTTATTTCCAGGAAAGGATGGTATAATCAGAAATGTCAGAGTTCGCACCAAGAACGGTGAATACAACAGATCAGTACAGAAATGCTGTTTGATCCTGGAATATTTCACATAGACTGTTTTCAGATGGCACTTGGTTGCCCCCGGAGGATTTGGTTGATATGACATTTGAATCTGAAATAACTAATAATTAATTTCATTTATGCTAAGAAAGACATATTTTTAGTTTGCCGGTTTGATCAAGCCGTTTTGGTATATGTACTGTGCTCCAAAATAATGATGACTCCCTGTTGTGTATTGCGAGCTCCAGCGATGAGCGTGAGTGACCCGCGATGGTCAAATGTGTGAGAATTTCTGTGTGTTGCAGAGAGTTAGCGGCTGAGCACTAATCTTCAGGTATGAAATACTGTTTTTTGTTTAATATATTATCATGTCATAAATGCAAGTTTTGGAAATACTTCAACTTTATTGATAATTCATTTTGCATTTTTCAAAGAGCGTGTTGTTCGATTTTCAATCATCTTTGAGTGCTCAAAATATATGCTGGAAGTATTTGTAATGTTTTCAAGTATTGTTATATCACCTAAATGGTATAACTATTCTTTGTTGCGTAAATATCAGTCAAAGAAAATGTTTATTTACCGTAAATTTGAATTTTGTAGGGAGTTAAATTTAAGGAGAAATCCTTGTTTCAAAATGAAATGTAACCTTTATTGGGGATGATTTGGGTGAACATTATGAATGTTTGAATACTTTTCAAGAACTTTAAGTGATTTATTTGCTTTATTATCACTAAAGAGTATATTTATTTTACTCTTCAGAACATATTTAATGTTACGAAGGACTCAGCCAATAAAGAGTGGTGAACACTATCTTCTCTTTATCATTTGTACCAATCTGTATTGCTTCCTTTATACACAGGTATTATCACGCCTATCATACCTTCAGGAAGATAGTATTCAGATATAATAAGGTTAAACATACATGTACTGTGCCACTGTGAGCGGCATACCTTCAGGAAGATAGTATTCAGATATAATTAGGTTAAACATACATGTACTGTGCCACTGTGAGCGGCATACCTTCAGGAAGATAGTATTCAGATATAATTAGGTTAAACATACATGTACTGTGCCACTGTGAGCGGCATACCTTCAGGGAGATAGTATTCAGATATAATTAGGTTAAACATACATGTACTGTGTCACTGTGAGCGGCATACCTTCAGGAAGATAGTATTCAGATATAATTAGGTTAAACACACATGTACTGTGCCACTGTGAGCGGCATACCTTCAGGAAGATAGTATTCAGATATAATTAGGTTAAACATACATGTACTGTGCCACTGTGAGCGGCATACCTTCAGGAAGATAGTATTCAGATATAATTAGGTTAAACATACATGTACTGTGCCACTGTGAGCGGCATATCTTCAGGAAGATAGTAGTCAGATATAATTAGGTTAAACATACATGTACTGTGCCACTGTGAGCGGCATACCTTCAGGAAGATAGTATTTAGATAGAATTAGGTTAAACATACATGTACTGTGCCACTGTGAGCGGCATACCTTCATGAAGATAGTATTCAGATATAATTAGGTTAAACATACATGTACTGTGCCACTGTGAGCGGCATACCTTCAGGAAGATAGTATTCAGATATAATTAGGTTAAACATACATGTACTGTGCCACTGTGAGCGGCATATCTTCAGGAAGATAGTAGTCAGATATAATTAGGTTAAACATACATGTACTGTGCCACTGTGAGCGGCATACCTTCAGGAAGATAGTATTTAGATAGAATTAGGTTAAACATACATGTACTGTGCCACTGTGAGCGGCATACCTTCAGGAAGATAGTATTTAGATATAATTAGGTTAAACATCCATGTACTGTGCCACTGTGAGCGGCATACCTTCAGGAAGATAGTATTCAGATATAATTAGGTTAAACATACATGTACTGTGCCACTGTGAGCGGCATACCTTCAGGAAGATAGTATTCAGATATAATTAGGTTAAACATACATGTACTGTGCCACTGTGAGCGGCATATCTTCAGGAAGATAGTAGTCAGATATAATTAGGTTAAACATACATGTACTGTGCCACTGTGAGCGGCATACCTTCAGGAAGATGGTATTCAGATATAATTAGGTTAAACATACATGTACTGTGCCACTGTGAGCGGCATATCTTCAGGAAGGTAGTAGTCAGATATAATTAGGTTAAACAAACATGAAAGGTGTTTATATAAACTACAGTGGGCATATTTTAGATACTCATTTGTAACTACATCTGGTCCTTTGCAAAGTCATTATCAAAGTCGGAATTTTCAAATGGACGAAACAGGTAATATGTGTCCCTTATGTTACAGATTCAGTAGTTGTCACCGTTATGGTCTTGTACGTGTCAGAGTTCTCAGCTGATGTCTTCCACTGCTTCTTCACTGTTTTATAGAATTCACTAATGTCTAATTCACACATGTGGAAGTATTTTTCTTTATTCCACTGCCTTTCAGCTTTTCGTTTGCGACGCCTGCTTGTACGCTTTGTAATACTGATGACTGGCCAATCTTGGCTTCCTCTCAGCCTTCCACAATCGCTTTGATTGTCTCATATCATAGCTACATGTCCAGCTTTAAAGGTTTCCAATAAGGCTTCAGTTAGGTCTTAAATTACCTTGTGGGATGTGTTGCAACGCACGCTGCAGAGTGCAGGGCAGTTGGTATTGAGTCCATGTATGATTCTATAGTATCCAGTGTTTGGTAGCCTGGACCAGCTACAGTTGATCCTAGAAGAAACTGTACTTCTGTTCTATACAGATCCCGTTGTACTCAATCAGCTGTATACCACCTTGGCATGTTCACATGTTTATCCTCAGTGAGAAATATGTCGCCATGAAATGCTGAGGTCACAGGATAATGATCTGATAAATGAAAAAGAATGGTACTGTCAATTGCACTCTGGAGACTAGATGGTCCAAAGATATACTCTAAGACTGAGTATTGAGTATAAGTCTTGTTTCGCCAAGTTTTCACCATTCCTTCAGTGGTACCACAAGAGTACGAGGCCACCATGCTGCGATCCGATAGATACTGTGAGAGTAGCTGTGATCTTCGTGAGAGGCTATTGTTTTGAATGTCAGTGTTATTAAATGTTCTTCCATTGTAACTACATCCCTACCTACTCAACTGTATAAACACCTGTATATATGCTTGTCAACCATACCATGAACATCACCTGCTGGATAACAGTGTTAGAACCTACACCGAAACGTCGCCCCCAATTCTAATAAAGAAGGTGTCCATCAATATATCTTATCCTTACGAAATATATCGAGGTTTTGGTTTGAGATTTTACTATTAAGTGAGCAGCGGCTGCTTATTTCTGAAATGTAGGCCAAAGGCCCGTCATACAAGTACACTGATGGATATCGGCCGAGTGGTACATGTATGTTTACGTGTTGACAGTACATGGTGTATAAACGTAGCCACATTCCGTAGGAGATGGTCATTTCTGTTGACATTAGTACACACTTCTACCATGACATTGATGAATGCTTGATTCTGATTGGTTAAAAGAGGTTTCATTTTTGCTACGGAAACCCCTTTCAAATATATTAAGCCTTTTCACAAAAAAACGTGCGTATGAATACATAAACTAGTGTCCAAAAGAAACGATACCACCTGTTTGCAACGACATAAAAGAAAAACTAAACAATGCAGAAGTTTAGGATTGGTGTTATGCTTTTGAGAAATTCTTTCACAACATCTGTACAAAAATTTCATTTCAATAAAATCTGTACAACCAATATGACAAGCCTTTAAAGATGGGTGGGGTCGAAAAATGAACATTTCGTTAGAGCACTGATCACAGAAACAACGGGAAATGTCACACCACACGTCTCAAAGTCAAGTCAGTAGTGGGTATGTCCACCGTGAGCATCAATACATGCCAGAACACGCCTACGGACTGATGACGTCAAACGTCTGATGACGTTGGGAGTGATGCGTTGCCATTCCTCGAGGAGACATCGTTCCAAGTCCTGGACGTTGACTGGAGGCACACGGTGACGTCGGATTTGCCGATCGAGGTGGTTCCATAAGTGCTCAATGGGATTCATGTCCGGTGAACATGCGGGCCATGGCAAAACCTGTACTTTGGCGTTGGCAAGGAATTTCTGTGTCAATCTTGCTGTGTGTGGCCTTGCATTGTCATGTTGGAATAGGAGTCCACGAGGCTGTTGCTGAATAAAGGCCACCACAACAGGCCGTAGGATGTCATCAAGATAACGCTGTGCATTCAGGTTTCCACGAATTACGACAAGCATCGTTTTGACGTCACCACATATGCCACCCCAAACCATTAACCCTCCACCTCCAAACGGCCGGACCTGTTGGATACAGTTAGGCGCCAAACGTTCACCAAATCGTCGGTATACCCGTAACACGTGCCCAGTCCCGCCGTTGCCAACGTCGAACTCGCCTGGCCCAGATCAGTCTGTTGTTCCGGTGTCGAGGCGTCAGGAGCGGTCCGCGGTAGGGATGACGTGGCCGGATACCATACTGCCGTAGTCTCCTGTAGATGGTCTGTCGACTGATCCTGTGTCCCAGTGCTGTAGCCGCAATGGACGTCGCTGTTACGATGCGGTTCCTCAGGTGTAATACCTGGATGTTACGATCTTCACGGGGCGTGGTTACTCGTGGTCTTCCACTCCTGGGCCTGTCTGACGTCTGACCTGTCTGACGTAACCGCTGCATCAACCTGGTGATAGTGATGCGTGCGCAGCCCAACCTTCTAGCGACGTCGACGTGTGACGCTCCTTGTTGGACCATTCCAACGGCTCTCTCTCTCTCGATGGCTGTCAAACGTGGCATATCTTGTATTCTTTTTGTTGCTGTGATATCAACGTGTCTGATCAGCCGTTTTATACAGTTTTTCTGCACGTGCAGAACATGCTAGAGAGGGAAATGTCACTTTCACGAAATTTACGTTTTTCCCGGGAGTGATCACGTGTTCCCGGTATTTTTTATCGACTATGCTGTGTTTGGGATGCGCAATACGAATTGGCATGTTTTCATACTTGACAATTCACTTAGTAAAAAACAATTTTGAAAATAAGTTGGTATCGTTTCTTTTGGACACTAGTTTAGATAGCCTACATATCGATTTATAGAAAATGGCTGCCGATTGACCACCCCCATTTGAACTGTAAAACATATCTATATTTCCTCTAATACACGCTGGGTCTCTAATACACGCCGAGTCAAGGGCTCTCGCGAAATTAATAGACGGCGTTGCGTCAAATAGAGGAAATACAGTAGTTTGTTATGGGATGTTTTTGGCGTTGGCTAGGCCGCAACCCTGACTGCTTCGATGATGACATTAAAAGATTTAATGAAGGCATATCTTTTGCATACAAATGAAATGTTTTTGAAACCGTTAGAGAAATGGTCTATGGTGACCAGAATCGGAACCATTAAAGCTATTTCCTCATTGAAACAACCGACAATGAAAGTAAACTATAACAGTATAAAAACTGTTTGAAAAAAGCTTTATTCATGACAACATGTTGTTTACAAACCTTTTTCTGATCGATATTCGTTGCCATCTCCGTCAACCACCACCGTTAGAATTTGGCAGGAGGGGATTTGAAAGTCCATCATTTAACACTCCCCTTCGAAAGTCCACGAAAACAATGTCCCAACTGAAGTGACAGCTCATCAAACTTGATGAAATTCATTTCAGAACACCACAATTAAGAAAATCACACACGATCCACTTTTTCTGGGACACAAATGTCTAAGTTCTGTCACTATTTGGCTTTGGATCCGTGAAATCTTGAAATTAATAGATCACATCATGCAGATTCCTCGTTTTAAAATATCCGGCTGGTCTGCAGCCTAAACGCGTCTGTTCAGTCATACTCAGTCACATTGGTAATCATGTGCTTGCTTCTTTCTATAACTCGTTATGGAGAATGTAAACACATCATTGTCAGCCATTGACAGCTGTGAGGTGTGAGTAACCGTGATGTAGGTCAAGTTCTGCCACATCCAAGTTCGGTTTGGAGAGGCTTTTATTTTGATTTTATTATTGTTTACTGGGGGTAATTGCTAACTAACTAATAACACTTACACATGTTAAATGTATAATAGAATGTTTATTTATAAAGTTTGCTGTAGAAATACATTCGTTTAGCATTTTAAAACCTTTTTTTATTACCCGTCACCCCTACAATAGAAATGATGGCATGTTCGATTTTCCAGAAATTAACTCTCACAAAATTCCGAGAAATGACAGTCAGTCCACAGTGTGCAACAGTGTACAACAGTTTGTCGGAAATTAAAACATCTCTCTTTGGACTAGGTTAGGAGAGTTATTTGTCAACTTCTTTTGAAAAACTATGTGTATTGAACACTTATTATGAAATACTCACGACTATGGTGTTTCTAATCTTGAACTTTGGTCATAATTGTTACATATATAACTACCTGTGACCACTTTTCGGAATGTTTGATTGCGGACCTGTGCACCTGTGTTATTACTCGTTGCAAGAGAGCGCCGTTTTCAAAGCGAGGTTGCCGTCATGGTAGAATGGAGATAAACCTACTGTGTTTCCAAATTTGATGTAGTCCCACTGTAGAATAGATACCTCTTTATTATAATTTTGAACCGAGCGCTTTAACGCTTTAGCGCAAGGTTCCAAATTATAATAAAGAGGTATCTATTCTACAGTGGGACTACATCAAATTTCAAAACACAGTAGGTTTATCTCCTAAATAGTATTAGCTGATGGACAGGACGTATAGTTTAATGGAATTTAACGATTCCCTAGATCTCTATAATGTGTACATTTGAGAAGGACATGGAATTCGTCTTCAATATCATTACTGTTATACATTCTACATAATTGGTTCCCAGTGGCATGAAATAGTTATTTTTTATAAAACATTAGATCATAACAATCACATCGAAATTGCGATAATGCTGTTCTAAATTTTCATACACTGCTCATATTGTTTATATAGTGAATACGGATATGTACATTTTCCATTTGAATATTCCTAGCCCATTCTTGCTGAAAACAATCTTTACATCTTTGTTGCACAATTGATACAGATTTAAAGATTTTTTTCAGCAAGAATGGACTAGACATATTTAAAACGAAGTTACTATTAAGTTGTAGATCGCAGACCTCTGTCAGCCGTCCTCAACCAGTAACAGTTGAGTTTAGCTCCGTCCATCAACTAGTTCGTCCCTACATGCTGTTGGGTCTATGTGTCCTGACCATGTCCCCGCTGGCGTCGGACGCCTTCGATGTAGGCGGGTAGCGTCATCGTCGCCCCTGTAGCCGCAGTCAGAATCAGCGCCAAGATGGCGACAACGAAGGACCAGGACACACGGACATCGGGTACAGAACTGACCCCGGTGTTGAACATGACGACAGTCAGCAGTAGACATATGCCTGGAAGTGGACATGTACAGATCTACTGTATACAGGGGATCTCACTACACACGATGTTGTAATGCATCACAGGAAATCATTTACTCACCAACTCACAACACAGGACATACGTTGGATATACGAGGGCTGGTAAAGACGTTCTAAGCCTAAGAAACAAAACCAACAATTGATTTTTTTCAACACAATCTGTCTGCTTTTCAATACACTTCTCATATCGATAGTGAAGCAATTCCAGTCAGGACGAGGTTTTCTGAAGCCACCCTGAAAAACCAATTCATGACAGCTTTGAGGTCATCCTTGTCGTCATAGCGCTTTCCACGAAGCTGTTCTTTCAGTTTAGGAAACAGGTGGAAACCAGTTGGTGCCAGGTCGGGTGAGTATGGGGCACGAGGAAGCTCGTCGAACCCACATTGTAGCAGAGCAGCCTTTGCAAGTCGAGAGGTGTGAGAAGAGGCATTGTCATGAAATCGTAGAACTCCAGCAGTCAGCATTCCTCGCTGCTTTTTTTAATAGAATCCCTCAGGCGATGTTCAAAGCAACTCAGCATAGCAGGCACCGGTAATCGTCGTTTGACTTTCTAAGTAATCAACAAGGATCACACCATTTACATCCCAGAATACAGTGATCATAACTTTCTTCACTGACCTTGGAGACTTGAATTTCTTTGGTGCTGGAGAAGTGGAATGGTGTCATACAATTTATTGACGTTTTGACTCCGAATCATAGTGGTAGACCCATGTTTTATCACCCGTTACTAATTTTTTTTTTTAATTTGACGAAATCCTCCTCAATTAGCTCTAAATGTTCACTGTCAATATCAGTTCTTTTTTCATTGAGATAAGAATTTAGAAACTTTGGCAGCCAACGGGCACATATGTTATTCAACTGCTAATGTTAAAGAATAATAGTTTCAATAGATCCTTTGGCTTAGACCTGTGTCTTCCTCAAGTTCAGCAATGGTAATACATCCGTCTGACAGTATAAGTTTTTCTATCTCCTTGATTGAATCTTCATTGATGGTAGTTGAGGGACGCCATAGGGTCATCATCAAGGCTTGTTCTCCCAGCCTTAAACATAGCTGCCGAACGTTTAACAGTGGAATAGCTAGGGCACTTATCCACTCACAATTTTCTCTAAAGTTAAAAAAAAATGATGACTGCTCTGTACATGTTCTTTTCTATTTCTGGGTCCACTTGGACCCCTGTCACGTTCAAATGGTTGTCACTAATATACAAAGGGCCTCAACAGACCAAATACACTTGCAATGAACTACTCAAACAATGTACTACATTTGCTCGTTCATTTTGTTATGGCCCATAGTTGAAAGTTAGTCAGGCTTAGAACTTTTTGACCAGCCCTCGCAATTGTTAATATTTTGACCGCGGTAGTACGGATATAAAACGGAGACTGAAATGTTTATACCAGAAGGAACCAGTGTTGGAAAGTGAGAGCTTGCTTCACGTGCAGTGTTGTCAACATCAAGCTGTTGACAGTGGTATTGGCAATGGTATGGTGTGGGAAAAGGGCCATAATATCCAATACACGGATACAACCTAATAATTTTCAAAACATATCATTCTGTGTAACTTTGACTTTACTTGGCGCCTGATGATTTCCAGGTGTATACACACCTGTGTATGATGCAGGTCAGGTCACGTGCTATGTAGCAGGGCATGGCTGACTTCCTGTTCTAGGGGATTCCCCTTTCTGTTCAGTAGAATCCGGGAAGTGTGGTTAATCAAGGACTGATAGAAAGTATTACGAATCCAAATAGAAAGTATTTTGGATAAAGCTTTAAGAGGCATAGATCCGATGCTCCAAATCTAATGAACCTATTGAAACATGACTTATGAATGTTCTGAACCTCACATGAAAAGACTTGGTCTAAAAATCTTATAATGGTTTTTCAAGCTAACCCCCCTTCCACGTTGATACACTTTAGCTAACGAAGTTCATGGGAGTTTATAAGTTTCGGCTAAAGATGTCTTCATGTCTGGGAACAGGTGACAGATCCATCAGGAGCATAAGGTGAGTGCTGCACAAGTTCAAAGCCACACCCGTGGCTTGTAGCTATGGCAATGCCTGATTTGTGCCCTGGCGCATTGTCCTCAATGAGGAGCACAGCTTTTCTCAGCTTCCCACATCTCGTAGTTTTAACTTCATGACGTAATTGCCTCAAACGTGCAACATAATATGCTCCGTTTATTGTCTGTCATTTTGGAACATAGTCCCCCATAATGGCACCCCCGGATTTCCATAAACATCTGAAGGGACAATCTTTGCTTTCTTGGGTGGTGGTGGTATCAAATGCTACCACTGTTTTGATTGTTTGGACATGTTTCATTCACAGTCACAAATCATTGCAAGAACCTTCCTTGGCCAGCTTCAAACAGAGTTAGATTATCCCGAGACATTTTGTGTCTGATGCGTTGCTGTATTAACGAACTGAAACCTTCTTAATTGCTACAGTTTCTGTGATAATGGAGTGTACTCTCTCCTGGCAAATGCCTACTGAACTAGCAATATGACCCCCAGTCTCTCGCCCGTTGGTCATCACCACATCGTGGATTCTCTGGCTCATTTCTCCAGAGATCACAGAACGCTGCTTATTTTGCTTACTTCTCACAACGAAACAATTTACTGATTTGACTCCATTTTGTATGGACATACCTCTATGGCATCATGTAATGTCCGATTAAAGGGTTTCATTATTACGTAATTCCTTGTATGTAAGGCTCAGTCAACTCTCGTTAAACAATAAAGACCTATATGTCCCAGGCCTGAACCTGGTCCAGGCCACGTGGCATCATAACTCCACCCTCTGTACTACCCCTTCCTGTTCCTCATTGTATACATTTGGTGAATTGAGTGTCACTCTTACCTCCTTGATGCAAGGGGTAAGGAGTAACCAGGTTGGTACTATGTAGAAGACAACATAGGAGTAATCAGGTCGGTGCTATGTAGAAGACAACATAGGAGTAATCAGGTTGGTGCTATGTAGAAGACAACATAGGAGTAATCAGGTTGGTGCTATGTAGAAGACAACATAGGAGTAATCAGGTTGGTGCTATGTAGAAGACAACATAGGAGTAATCAGGTTGGTGCTATGTAGAAGACAACATAGGAGTAATCAGGTTGGTGCTATGTAGAAGACAACATAGGAGTAATGAGGTTGGTGCTATGTAGAAGACTACATAGGAGTAATCAGGTTGGTGCTATGTAGAAGACAACATAGGAGTAACCAGGTTGGTACTATGTAGAAGACAACATAGGAGTAATCAGGTTGGTGCTATGTAGAAGACAACATAGGAGTAATCAGGTCGGTGCTATGTAGAAGACAACATAGGAGTAATCAGGTTTGTGCTATGTAGAAGACAACATAGGAGTGATCAGGTTGCTACTATGTAGAAGACAACATAGGAGTAATCAGGTCGGTGCTATGTAGAAGACAACATAGGAGTAATCAGGTTGGTGCTATGTAGAGGACAACATAGGAGTAATCAGGTCGGTGCTATGTAGAAGACAACATAGGAGTAATGAGGTTCGTGCTATGTAGAAGACAACATAGGAGTAATGAGGTTGGTGCTATGTAGAAGACAACATAGCAATACATCTATCGTAAGTTGAGTACTTTACTGTCTGCACTGACCAGTGGCCGCTGTGAGACTGGCGTTGACCCCCGCCAATATCTCTCTCCCTGCGGCACCCGGCTTCAGGAACATGTGGGCTAGGATGGCAAACTCCTCCCAGAACCAGCTCAGTAGACCAAGGATCATAAACACCTGCGGAGCCCGGTGCCAGTCACCCACTGCCAACAACAAACATCGACGCACATCAAGGTTACAGTTTACAAACATAATAAAAGTGGGGTATCCCTATCCTGGACCTCCATGATAACATATAATAATATATATATAATAACAATAAAATTATAATAATAATAATAATATATATATATATATATATATATATATATATATATATATATATATATATATATATATAATAATATGCAGTTTATGTCACTGGGTATCTGGAGGGGTCTGCAGTTTATGTCACTGTGTACGTGAAGGAGTCTGCAGTCTATGTCACTGTGTATGTGAAGGAGTCTGTAGTTTGGGTCACTGTGTACGTGTAGGAGTCTGCAGTTTGGGTAACTGTGTACATGAGGGATTCTGCAGTTTACGTCACTGTGTACGTGAAGGATTCCGCAGTTTACGTCACTGTGTACGTGAAGGAGTCTGCAGTTTATGTCATGAGTACGTGAAGGAGTCTGCAGTTTATGTCACTGTGTACGTGAAGGAGTATGCAGTTTATGTCACTGTGTACGTGAAGGAGTCTGCAGTTTATGTCACTGTGTACGTGAAGGAGTCTGCAGTCTATGTCACTGTGTATGTGAAGGAGTCTGTAGTTTGGGTCACTGTGTACGTGTAGGAGTCTGCAGTTTGGGTAACTGTGTACATGAGGGATTCTGCAGTTTACGTCACTGTGTACGTGAAGGATTCCGCAGTTTACGTCACTGTGTACGTGAAGGAGTCTGCAGTTTATGCCATGAGTACGTGAAGGAGTCTGCAGTTTATGTCACTGTGTACGTGAAGGAGTATGCAGTTTATGTCACTGTGTACGTGAAGGAGTCTGCAGTCTATGTCACTGTGTATGTGAAGGAGTCTGTAGTTTGGGTCACTGTGTACGTGTAGGAGTCTGCAGTTTATGTCACTGTGTACGTGAAGGAGTCTGCAGTTTGGGTAACTGTGTACATGAGGGATTCTGCAGTTTACGTCACTGTGTATGTGAAGGATTCCGCAGTTTACGTCACTGTGTACGTGAAGGAGTCTGCAGTTTATGTCATGAGTACGTGAAGGAGTCTGCAGTTTATGTCACTGTGTACGTGAAGGAGTCTGCAGTTTACGTCACTGTGTATGTGAAGGAGTCTGCAGTTTATGTCACTGGATACGTGAGGAGGTCCTAAGTTAATGTCTCTGTGTACGTGAAGGAGTCTGCAGTTTGGGTCACTGTGTACGTGAAGGAGTCTGCAGTTTATGTCACTGTGTACGTGAAGGAGTCTGCAGTTTACGTCACTGTGTACATGAAGGAGTCTGCAGTTTATGTCACTGTGTACATGAAGGAGTATGCAGTTTACGTCACTGTGTGTGTGAAGGAGTCTGCAGTTTAAGTCACTGGATACGTGAGGAGGTCCTAAGTTAATGTCGCTCTGTACGTGAAGGTATCTGCAGTTTACGTCACTGTGTACGTGAAGGAGTCTGCAGTTTGGGTAACTGTGTACATGAAGAAGTCTGCAGTTTATGTCACTGTGTACGTGAAGGAGTCTGCAGTTTATGTCACTGTGTACGTGTAGGAGTCTGCAGTTTACGTCACTGTGTACGTGAAGGAGTCTGCAGTTTGGGTAACTGTGTACATGAAGGAGTCTGCAGTTTGGGTAACTGTGTACATAAGGGATTATGCAGTTTACGTCACTGTGTACGTGAAGGATTCCGCAGTTTACGTCACTGTGTACGTGAAGGAGTCTGCAGTTTACGTCACTGTGTACATGAAGGAGTCTGCAGTTTACGTCACTGTGTGTGTGAAGGAGTATGCAGTTTATGTCACTGTGTACGTGAAGGAGTCTGCAGTTTACGTCACTGTGTATGTGAAGGAGTCAGCAGTTTATGTCACCGTGTATGTGCAGGAGTCTGGAGTTTATGTCACTGGATACGTGAGGAGGTCCCAAGTTAATGTCGCTGTGTACGTGAAGGATTCTACAGTTTACGTCACTGTGTACTTGAAGGAGTCTGCAGTTTACGTCAATGTGTACGTGGAGGAGTCTGTAGTTTATGTCACTGTGTACTTGAAGGAGTCTGCAGTTTACGTCACTGTGTGCATGAGGGAGTCTGCAGTTTATGTCACTGTGTACGTGAAGGAGTCTGCAGTTTACGTCACTGTGTATGTGAAGGAGTCTGCAGTTTATGTCACTGGATACGTGAGGAGGTCCTAAGTTAATGTCTCTGTGTACGTGAAGGAGTCTGCAGTTTACGTCACAGTGTACGTGAAGGTGTCTGCAGTTTATATCACTGGATACGTGAGGAGGTCCCAAGTTAATGTCTCTGTGTACGTGAAGGAGTCAGCAGTTTATGTGACTGTGTACATGAGGGAGGCTGCAGTTTACGTCACTGTGTACGTGAATGAGTCTGCAGTATACGTCATTGTGTACGTGAAGGAGTCTGCAGTTTATGTCACTGTGTGCGTGAAGGAGTCTGCAGTTTACGTCACTGTGTACGTGAAGGAGTCTGTAGTTTATGTCATTGTGTACGTGAAGGAGTCTGCAGTTTATGTCACTGTGTACATGAAGGAGTCTGCAGTTTACGTCACTGTGTGTGTGAAGGAGTATGCAGTTTATGTCACTGTGTACGTGAAGGAGTCTGCAGTTTACGTCACTGTGTACGTGAAGGAGTCAGCAGTGTATGTCACCGTGTATGTGCAGGAGTCTGGAGTTTATGTCACTGGATACGTGAGGAGGTCCCAAGTTAATGTCGCTGTGTACGTGAAGGATTCTACAGTTTACGTCACTGTGTACTTGAAGGAGTCTGCAGTTTACGTCAATGTGTACGTGGAGGAGTCTGTAGTTTATGTCACTGTGTACGTGAAGGAGTCTGGAGTTTACGTCACTGTGTGCATGAGGGAGTCTGCAGTTTATGTCACTGTGTACGTGAAGGAGTCTGCAGTTTACGTCACTGTGTATGTGAAGGAGTCTGCAGTTTATGTCACTGGATACGTGAGGAGGTCCTAAGTTAATGTCTCTGTGTACGTGAAGGAGTCTGCAGTTTACGTCACAGTGTACGTGAAGGTGTCTGCAGTTTATATCACTGGATACGTGAGGAGGTCCCAAGTTAATGTCTCTGTGTACGTGAAGGAGTCAGCAGTTTATGTGACTGTGTACATGAGGGAGGCTGCAGTTTACGTCACTGTGTACGTGAAGGAGTCTGTAGTTTATGTCATTGTGTACGTGAAGGAGTCTGCAGTTTATGTCACTGTGTACATGAAGGAGTCTGCAGTTTACGTCACTGTGTGTGTGAAGGAGTATGCAGTTTATGTCACTGTGTATGTGAAGGAGTCAGCAGTTTATGTCACCGTGTATGTGCAGGAGTCTGGAGTTTATGTCACTGGATACGTGAGGAGGTCCCAAGTTAATGTCTCTGTGTACGTGAAGGATTCTGCAGTTTACGTCACTGTGTACTTGAAGGAGTCTGCAGTTTACGTCAATGTGTACGTGGAGGAGTCTGTAGTTTATGTCACTGTGTACGTGAAGGAGTCTGGAGTTTACGTCACTGTGTGCATGAGGGAGTCTGCAGTTTATGTCACTGTGTACGTGAAGGAGTCTGCAGTTTACGTCACTGTGTATGTGAAGGAGTCTGCAGTTTATGTCACTGGATACGTGAGGAGGTCCTAAGTTAATGTCTCTGTGTACGTGAAGGATTCTACAGTTTACGTCACTGTGTACTTGAAGGAGTCTGCAGTTTACGTCACTGTGTGCATGAGGGAGTCTGCAGTTTATGTCACTGTGTACGTGAAGGAGTCTGCAGTTTACGTCACTGTGTATGTGAAGGAGTCTGCAGTTTATGTCACTGGATACGTGAGGAGGTCCTAAGTTAATGTCTCTGTGTACGTGAAGGAGTCTGCAGTTTACGTCACTGTGTACGTGAAGGTGTCTGCAGTTTATATCACTGGATACGTGAGGAGGTCCCAAGTTAATGTCTCTGTGTACGTGAAGGAGTCAGCAGTTTATGTGACTGTGTACATGAGGGAGGCTGCAGTTTACGTCACTGTGTACGTGAATGAGTCTGCAGTATACGTCACTGTGTACGTGAAGGAGTCTGCAGTTTACGTCACTGTGTACGTGAAGGAGTCTGTAGTTTATGTCATTGTGTACGTGAAGGAGTCTGCAGTTTATGTCACTGTGTGCGTGAAGGAGTCTGCAGTTTACGTCACTGTGTACGTGAAGGAGTCTACAGTTTACGTCACTGTGTACATGAAGGATTCTGCAGTTTATGTCACTGTGTACATGAGGGATTCTGCAGTTTACGTCACTGTGTACGTGAAGGATTCTGCAGTTTATGTCACTGTGTACATGAGGGATTCTGCAGTTTATGTCACTGTGTACATGAGGGATTCTGCAGTTTATGTCACTGTGTACATGAGGGATTCTGCAGTATACGTCCCTGTGTACATGAGGGATTCTGCAGTATACGTCACTGTGTACGTGAAGGAGTCTGCAGTTTACGTCACTGTGTACGTGAAGGAGTCAGCAGTTTATGTCACTGTGTACGTGAAGGAGTCTGCAGTTTATGTCACTGGATTCGTGAGGAGGTCCCATGTTAGTGTCGCTGTGTATGCAAAGGGGTCTGAAGTTTACGTCACTGTGTACGTGAAAGAGTCGTCAGTTTACGTCACTGTGTACGTGAAAGAGTCTGCAGTTTATGTCACTGGATACGTGAGGAGATCCCAAGTTAATGTCGCTGTGTACATGAAGGAGTCTGCAGTTTACGTCACTGTGTACATGAAGGATCCTGCAGTTTTTGTCACTGTGTACAAGAACGAGTCTGCAGTTTACGTCACTGAGTATGTGACGGATTCTGCAGTTTACGTCACTGTGTACGTGAAGGAGTCTGCAGTTTATGTCGATATGTACATAATCAGTCAATTAATCAAAACAATCAACCAACTAACCAACCAACCAACCAACCAGCCAACCAACCAACCAACCAACCAATCAATCAATTGAATTACATTGCGTACAGAATCTCTTATCTCTTGATGTATTATTTGAAGTACATTGCTTCGTACATAGAAATATTTTACACGTATAAAGATGAACTGATACAGTCGATTTAAATTCACATAGCCCCCACACTTCTGAGGCAAATTACCGAATTAAGGAAATCTTAGTATCAACGATATTAAAGAATGTCGTATATGAAAGGTCTGTTACATTTTGTAAATTATGTAGAAGACCGAACTGTACCTTCTCCCCTTGATCGCTGCATTATTAGCATTCGTAACGGTAACTTTTTTGAAAATGTAACACCTAAATATTTGTAGGAAGTAACAGTTACTAAATGGCCTTTGAAATACCATTTTTCCTTTTTGCGAGTTTATTACCTTTACTAAAAACTCTGACCTCACTTATCAGAATTTACTTCTACATACTGAATAAAATGCTTCAGTGACATTGCATACAATGCTTCACGTTTTCTCTGTATATATCCGTCTGTAATAGCCTGTACGATAAATATGTTATCTGTAGTGGAGTATCCACGTCTAAATTCCTATTGTTCTTCGCCAATCTTTTCAAGAGCTTCAGACCAAAAACCTTTCTTCTATTTATGATTGAAATAATAAAATACGATGTTTCTAGAAATGAACTGAATACAGTCTCAAAATAGAGAACTACGAAATTACGAGACGATTCTTAGATTAATGCTTCGCTTCCTGAACTTTTATTGGTTTTCAAATCATGAATAGCAGGTGATATTTCTTCTCTTGATATTGGTTGATCCAGCATATATGTGGCATGAGTACATACCTCTTCTATTTGAGTCTTGTGAAAGGAGGAAAACTATGGTCTATGTAAGGAGGGACATGGTGGTCTAGTGTAAGGTAGGACACGGTGGTGTAGTGTAAGGTGGGACACAGTGGTCTAGTGTAAGGATGGACACGGTGGTCTAGTGTAAGGAGGGACACGGTGGTCTAGTGTTACCTGGGACACGGTGGTCTAGTGTAAGGATGGACACGCTGGCCTAGTGTAAGGATGGACACAGTAGTGTACTGTAAGGTGGAACACGGTCGTCTAGTGTTAGGTGGGACACGGTGGTGTAGTGTAAGGTGGGACACAGTAGTCTAGTGTAGGGAGCGACACGGCGGTCAAGTGTAAGGTGTGACACGGTGGTCTAGTGTTAGCTAGGACACGGTGGTGTAGTGTAAGGTAGGACACAGTAGTCTAGTGTAAGGTGGAACACGGTCGTCTAGTGTTAGGTGGGACACGGTGGTGTAGTGTAAGGTGGGACACAGTAGTCTAGTGTAGGGAGCGACACGGCGGTCAAGTGTAAGGTGTGACACGGTGGTCTAGTGTTAGCTAGGACACGGTGGTGTAGTGTAAGGTAGGACACAGTAGTCTAGTGTAAGGAGGGACACGGTGGACTAGTGTCAGGAGGGACACGGTGGTGTACTGTAAGGATGGACACGGTGGTCTAGTGTAAGGATGGACACGGTGTCTAGTGTAAGATGGGACACGGTGGTCTAGTGTAAGGTGGGACACGGTGGTCGAGTGTAAGGAGGAACAAGGTGGTATTGTGTAAGGTGGGACACAGTGGTCTAGTGTAAGGTGGGACACGGTGGTCTAGTGTAATGAGGGACACGTTGGTCTAGTGTAAGGAGGAACACGGTTGTGTAGTGTAAGGTGGGACACAGTGGTCAAGTGTAAGGCGGGACACGGTGGTCTAGTGTAAGGAGGGACACGGTGGTCTAGTGTAAGGTGGGACACGGTGGTGTAGTGTAAGGTGGGACACAGTGGTCTAGTGTAAGGTGGGACACGGTGGTGTAGTGTAAGGATGGTCACGGCGGTGTAGTGTAAGGTGGGACACAGGGGTCTAGTGTAAGGAGAAACACGGTGGTGTAGTATAAGGAGGGACACAGTGGTCTAGTGTAAGGTGGGAGACGGTGGTCTAGTGTAAGGAGGGACACGGTGGTGTAGTGTAAGGAGGAACACAGTGGTCTAGTGTTAGGTGGGACACAGTGGTCTAGTGTTAGGTGGGACACGGTGTCTAGTGTAAGGTGGGACACGCTGGTGTAGTGTAATGTGGGACACAGTGGTGTAGTGTAAGGCGGGACACGGTGGTCTAGTGTAAGGAGGGACACGGTGGTCTAGTGTAAGGTGGGCCACGGTGGTGTAGTGTTAGGTGGGACACAGTGGTCTAGTGTTAGGTATGACACGGTGGTCTAGTGTAAGGATGGACACAGTGGTCTAGTGTAAGGAGGGACACGGTGGTGTAGTGTAAGGTGGGACACGGTGGTCTAGTGTAGGGAGGGACACGGTGGTCTAGTGTACGCAGGGACACGGTGGTGTAGTGTAAGGTGGGACACAGTAGTTTAGTGTTAGGAGGGACACGGCGGTCGAAAGGTAAGGTGTGACACGGTGGTCTAGTGTTAGGTGGGACACGGTGGGGTAGTGTAAGGTAGGACACAGTAGTCTAGTGTAAGGAGGGACACGGTGGTCTAGTGTAAGGTGGGACACAGTAGTCTAGTGTTAGGTGGGACACGGTGGTGTAGTGTAAGGAGGGACACGTTGGTGTAGTGTAAGGTGGGACACAGTGGTCAAGTGTAAGTATGGACACGTTGGTCTAGTGTAAGGTGGGATACAGTGGTCTAGTGTAAGGGGGGGACACAGTGGTCAAGTGTTAGGTTAGACACGGTGGTGTAGTGTAAGGATGGACACGGTGTCTAGTGTAAGGAGGGACACGGTGGTCTAGTGTTAGGTGGGACACGGTGGTCTAGTGTAAGGTGGGACACGGTGGTCTAGTATAAGGAGGGACACGGTGGTGTAGTGTAAGATGGGACACAGTAGTCTAGTGTAAGGAGGGACACGGTGGTCTAGTGTAAGGAGGGACACGGTGGTGTAGTGTAAGGATGGACACAGTGGTCTAGTGTAAGGTGGGACACGGCGGTCTAGTGTAAGGTGTGACACGGTGGTCTAGTGTTAGGTTAGACACGGTAGTGTAGTGTAAGGATGGACACGGTGGTCTAGTGTAAGGATGGACACTGTGGTCTTGTGGTGTAAGGAGGAACAATTTCCTATGCAGGGATTCATATTCTCTTGACATGTTAACTCTGTGGTGGTAGGTTCAAATATCATATTACCTGGTTCGTTAGCACCTTATCATACCTGGTTCGTTAGCATCATACCACACCTGGTTCGTCAGCACCATAGCATACCTGGTTCGTTAGCACCATACCATACCTGTCATCTTAGGCTTCACAGACACGTCTTGAAAAGTTTGAATAACTCCTACCACATTCACCAACTCCTGTGTAATTGAATAATGTAGTTTATTAGGCTACCTTTACTGTGGTCGACCACGTGAGTGTGGAGAACCTTGGACGAGCAGGTAGTCTGGCCGTCCTTGTCAGTGAGACACCCGGACCACAGTCCGAAGTTGACACGGTATCCACCGGAGTTGAGTACTGCCCAGTGATTGGTTGAAATGGCGATGACGTAAAGGACAAGGGTGACGAGAAAGGAAGCGGCTGTGAACATGTCTGGCACCGTTGGCCTCTTCCACTTGAAACTGTCCAAAAAGCTGTCGATCACATCAACATCCTGAAGTCTGAAATACAATGATAATAAAAACTAGTACTATACCTAATTCATCACCGAACTAGTGCTATATCCAGGTAATCAGCGAAATAGTGCTATATCCAGGTAATCACCCTACCAGTGCTATATCCAGGTAATCACCCTACTAGTGCTATATCCAGGTAATCAGCGAACAAGTGCTATATCCAGGTAATCACCCTACCAGTGCTATATCCAGGTAATCACCCTACTAGTGCTATATCCAAGTAATCACCCTACCAGTGCTATATCCAGGCAATCAGCGAAATAGTGCTATATCCAGGTAATCACCCTACCAGTGCTATATCCAGGTAATCACCCTACCAGTGCTATATCAAGGTAATCACCGAACTAGTGCTATATCCATATAATCACCCTACCAGTGCTATAACCAGGTATTCACCCTACCAGTGCTATATCCAGGTAATCAGCGAAATAGTGCTATATCCAGGTAATCACCCTATCAGTGCTATATCCAGGTAATCACCCTACCAGTGCTATATCCAGGTAATCAGCGAAATAGTGTTATATCCAGGTAATCACCCTACCAGTGCTATATCCAGGTAATCACCCTACCAGTGCTATATCCAGGTAATCACCGAACTAGTGCTATATCCATATAATCACCCTACCAGTGCTATAACCAGGTAATCACCCTACCAGTGCTATATCCATGTAATCACCGAACTAGTGCTATATCCATGTAATCACCGAACTTGTGCTATATATATGTAATCACCGAACTAGTGCTATGTCCAAGGATTCACCCTACAAGTGCTATATTCAGGTAATCACCCTGCTAGTGCTATATCCAGGTAATCACACTACCAGTGCTATATGCAGGTAATCATCCTACCAGTGGTATATCCAGGTAATCACCCTACCAGTGCTATATCAAGGTAATCACCGAACTAGTGCTATATCCATGTAATCACCCTACCAGTGCTATATCCAGGTAATCACCGAACTAGTGCTATATCCAGATAATCACCCTACCAGTGCTATATCCAAGTAATCACCCTACCACTGTTATATCCAGGTAATCACACTACAAGTGCTATATCCAGGTAATCACCCTACCAGTGCTATATCCAGGTAATCACCCTACCAGTGCTATATCCAGGTAATCACCCTACCAGTGCTATATCCAGGTAATCAGCGAAATAGTGTTATATCCAGGTAATCACCCTACCAGTGCTATATCCAGGTAAACACCCTACCAGTGCTATATCCAGGTAATCACCGAACTAGTGCTATATCCATATAATCACCCTACCAGTGCTATAACCAGGTAATCACCCTACCAGTGCTATATCCATGTAATCACCGAACTAGTGCTATATCCATGTAATCACCGAACTCGTGCTATATCCATGTAATCACCGAACTAGTGCTATATCCAAGGATTCACCCTACAAGTGCTATATTCAGGTAATCACGCTACCAGTGCTATATCCAGGTAATCACCCTACCTTTGCTATATCCAGATAATCACCGAACTAGTGCTATATCCAGGTAATCACCCTACCCGTGCTATATCCAGGTAATCACCCTACCTTTGCTATATCCAGGTAATCACCCTACCAGTGCTGTATCCAGGTAATCACCCTACCAGTGCTATATCCATGTAATCACCCTACCAGTGCTATATCCAGGTAATCACCCTACCAGTGCTATATCCAGGTAATAACGCTACCAGTGTTATATTCATGTAATCACCCTACCAGTGCTGTATCCAAGTAATCACCCTACCAGTGCTATATCAAGGTAATCACCCTACCAGTGCTATATCCATGTAATCACCCTACCAGTGCTATATCCAGGTAATAACGCTACCAGTGTTATATCCATGTAATCACCCTACCAGTGCTATATCCAGGGAATCACCCTACAAGTTCTATATCAAGCTAATCACCCTACAAGTGATATATCCAGCTAATCACCCTACCAGTGCTTTATCCATATAATCACCGAACTAGTGCTATATCCATGTAATCACCGAACTAGTGCTATATCCAGGTAATCACCCTACCAGTGCTATATCAAGGTAATCACCGAACTAGTGCTATATCCAGGTAATCACCCTACCAGTGCTATATGCAGGTAATCACCCTACCAGTGCTATATCCAGGTAATCACACTACAAGTGCTATATCCAAGTAATCACCCTACCAGTGCTATATCCAGGTAATCACCCTACCAGTGCTATATCCATGAAATCACCGAACTAGTGCTATATCCAGGTAATCACCCTACCAGTGTTATATCCAAGTAATAACCCTACCAGTGTTATATCCATGTAATCACCCTACCAGTGCTATATCTAGGTGATCACCCTACCAGTGCTATATCCAAGTAATCACCGAACTAGTGCTATATCCAGGTTATCACCATACAAGTGCTATATGAAGGTAATACACCCTACCAGTGCTATATCCATGTAATCACCGAACTAGTGCAATATCCAGGTAATCACCCTACCAGTGCTATATCCAGGTAATCACCCTACCAGTGCTATATCCAGGTAATCACCCTACCAGTGCTATATCTAGGTAATCACCCTACCAATGCTATATCCAGGTAGTCACCCTACCAGTGCTATATCCAGGTAATCACCCTACCAGTGCTATATCCAAGTAATGACCCTACCAGTGCTATATCCAGGTAATCACCAATCAGTGCTATATGAAGGTAATCACCGAACTAGTGCTATATCCATATAATCACGCTACCAGTGCTATATCCAGGTAATCACCCTACCTTTGCTTTATCCAGGTAATCACCCTACCAGTGCTGTATCCAGGTAATCACCCTACCAGTGCTATATCCAGGTAATCACCCTACCAGTGCTATATCCATGTGATCACCCTACCAGTGCTATATCCAGGTAATAACGCTACCAGTGTTATATCCATGTAATCACCCTACCAGTGCTGTATCCAGGTAATCACCCTACCAGTGCTATATCCAGGGAATCACCCTACCAGTGCTATATCCAGGGAATCACCCTACCAGTGCTATATCTAGGTAGTCACCCTACCTTTGCTATATCCAGGTAATCACCCTACCAGTGCTATATCCAGGGAATCACCCTACCAGTGCTATATCTAGGTAGTCACCCTACCAGTGCCATAACCAGGTAATCACCCTACCAGTGGTATATCCAAGTAATGACCCTACCAGTGCTCTATCCAGGTAATCACCAATCTAGTGCTATATCCATGTAATCACCCTATAAGTGCTATATCCATGTAATCACCGAACTAGTGCTATATCCAGGTATTCACCCTACCAGTGCTATATCCATGTAATCACCCTACCAGTGCTATATCCAGGTAATAACGACACCAGTGCTATATCCATGTAATCACACTACCAGTGCTATATCCAGGTAATCACCCTACCAGTGCTATATCCAGGTAATCACCCTACCAGTGCTATATCTAGGTAGTCACCCTACCAGTGCTATATCCAGGGAATCACCCAAACAGTCCTATATCCAGGTAATCACCCTACCAGTGTTATATCTAGGTAGTCACCCTACCAGTGATATATCCAGGTAATCACCCTACCAGTGCTATATCCAAGTAATGACCCTACCAGTGCTATATCCAGGTAATCACCAATCTAGTGCTATATTCAGGTAATCACCCTATAAGTGCTATATCCAGGTAATCACAGAACTAGTGCTCTATCCATGTAATCACCCTACAAGTGCTATATCAAGGTAATCAACCTACCAGTGCTATATCCAGGTAATCACCCTACCCGTGCTATATCCAGGTAATCACCCTACCAGTGCTATATGCAGGTAATCACCCTACCAGTGCTATATCCAGGTAATCACACTACAAGTGCTATATCCAAGTAATCACCCTACCAGTGCTATATCAAGGTAATCACCCTACCAGTGCTATATCCATGAAATCACCGAACTAGTGCTATATCCAGGTAATCACCCTACCAGTGTTATATCCAAGTAATAACCCTACCAGTGTTATATCCATGTAATCACCCTACCAGTGCTATATCTAGGTGATCACCCTACCAGTGCTATATCCAAGTAATCACCGAACTAGTGCTATATCCAGGTTATCACCATACAAGTGCTATATGAAGGTAATACACCCTACCAGTGCTATATCCATGTAATCACCGAACTAGTGCAATATCCAGGTAATCACCCTACCAGTGCTATATCCAGGTAATCACCCTACCAGTGCTATATCCAGGTAATCACCCTACCAGTGCTATATCTAGGTAATCACCCTACCAATGCTATATCCAGGTAGTCACCCTACCAGTGCTATATCCAGGTAATCACCCTACCAGTGCTATATCCAAGTAATGACCCTACCAGTGCTATATCCAGGTAATCACCAATCAGTGCTATATGAAGGTAATCACCGAACTAGTGCTATATCCATATAATCACGCTACCAGTGCTATATCCAGGTAATCACCCTACCTTTGCTTTATCCAGGTAATCACCCTACCAGTGCTGTATCCAGGTAATCACCCTACCAGTGCTATATCCAGGTAATCACCCTACCAGTGCTATATCCATGTGATCACCCTACCAGTGCTATATCCAGGTAATAACGCTACCAGTGTTATATCCATGTAATCACCCTACCAGTGCTGTATCCAGGTAATCACCCTACCAGTGCTATATCCAGGGAATCACCCTACCAGTGCTATATCCAGGGAATCACCCTACCAGTGCTATATCTAGGTAGTCACCCTACCAGTGCCATAACCAGGTAATCACCCTACCAGTGGTATATCCAAGTAATGACCCTACCAGTGCTCTATCCAGGTAATCACCAATCTAGTGCTATATCCATGTAATCACCCTATAAGTGCTATATCCATGTAATCACCGAACTAGTGCTATATCCAGGTAATCACCCTACCAGTGTTTTTTCCAGGTAATGACCGAACTAGTGCTCTATCCAGGTAATCACGCTACCAGTGCTATATCCAGGTAAT